AGTTATTCGGTACTCCCAGTTTAGTTAGTGTTTTTCTGTTCTGCTTCATCCCAGCAACAAAGCTGTGTATTTTGAGTTTCTTCCGCCTCCTTGAGTCCTGCATTTTGGGTCCTCTCTTCCTGCCTGCCTACACACAGAATGACTGTGTGTGTGTGTGTGTGTGTGTGTGTGTGCATATTTTAAAAATAGAATAAACAATACAATAAAATATACAGAGGTTGGCAGTTGGAAATGTGCAAAACAAGTGGCATTTATATACAGTATGTAGTGCATAATGTTGAAGTTCCAGTAGTGAAGCTGAGGTGTCTATGAAGTGTTCAGCAGTCTGATGGCCTGATGGAAGAAGCTGTCTCTCAGTCTGCTGGTACGGGACCGGATGCTGCAATTAAGTATCCAATTACGATTACAAGCCAGAAATGTTAGGTTGAATAAATAAGTTTTCAATCGTGATTTAAAAGATTGGACAGATCCAGACGCACGAATAGCAGCTGGAAGATTGTTCCAGAGGTTGGGTGCAGCTAAAGCAAAGCCACGGTCACCTGTGGTCTTCAGGTTGCACCAAGAGCATTTGGCCCGATGGTCACATTCTAGGCAAGTCGAGTTTAAACAGTGTTGCCTTTCAGACGACCTCTCTTACATTCGTTTTGTCATAAAAGTGAGGATTCCATTAAATGTTATAATTAGAGCCACGATTTTGAAGACTGTTATGAGCTAAGACACTCAGGAAATATGGAAGATGTTTGCGGATCCAGGTCAGGGGACTTCTGCCTGGCAGTCAGGGATCACGATAGTGTTTTCGCTCATGGCAAGGTTATGTACTCGTAGCTTCCTCTTCAATATGCATTCCCCTAGGCTGTTTAACTTGGTAGTGACCTTTTGGAGCATACTCGAGCGTCTTCAGCGCCAGCAGCAAGATTTTCCCTCCAGTGAATTGATTAAAGCAATCGTATGTGCCGTTCTGTATGCAACAAAAAGGAAAACTGACACAGGGGAGCTCATCACCGGAGAGGAAGAGTAAAGAGTCTTAATTAATGGGGGAGACTGTTCCACAGTGACAGAAACATAAATAGAAATAATGAAGTCACTGTGGGGTTACGGCTGTTTTGTGGACCTTGATGCTTTGAGCCTATGGAAAATTTTGTGCACCCTCAGGCCTTTATTCAGAGACTTCATCTCCCAGCTGGAACACACAGGATGTTCCGTGGTGGACTTTTCTAAAGAGTGGAAAACCACAAACGTCATAGCTCAGCACGGTCTCAGAGGTGCTCTTACTGTGGTGTTTCTCTTGAATACTAATGAGACATGCTGACGTGCATCTGCGCCTTGTTGTCGAAGCTAATGAACGGTTCGAATGAGTAGGATGCAGTCTAAATCAGAGTGTATTGTCTTAATTGTATTCTCCATATGGGAGTTTCACAGCTGCATTGCATCATGCAGCACAGAGACATTTGTTTAGGACAAATAAAGCTGCTTCTTCTAGTGTAAATGCCTGGTTTGTTCTCCGTGTGCTCGCTCTCAGGGAATCATGCTTTTCTGTAACACTGCAGGTCTTAGAACATATCTTAGGATCACTGTGAACTGGCCTAAATTATAAGAAAAGAAAAATGCCATTGAGTGTGTTGTGTGTTTCTAAAGTAGAGCTTAGGAACATTTCAACTGGATGACAGCTGATGGCTTATGTTGCTCCACAGTCTGTGTGACCTAAAGAATCCAGGAAAATACAACAAATGAATTTAGAACAAAAATACAAAGAAACCCTTGCAAAGCTTGATTATGGAAGGCAGACAGCAACGAGGCTGAGAACAGGAAACCTTTTTACTGGGTGGAATAATTCTTTGATTGGATGTAAAAACCCCCAAGGACCTAAAGTAGTGATATTACTGGCTAACTTCATCAAACTGATATATCTGTGACAGGCTGATATCTGCTGATACATCTGTGACAGGCTAATATCTGCTGATATATCTGTGACAGGCTGATATCTGCTGATATATCTGTGACAGGCTGATATCTGCTGATATATCTGTGACAGGCTGATATCTGCTGATATATCTGTGACAGGCTGATATCTGCTGATATATCTGTGACAGGCTGATATCTGCTGATACATCTGTGACAGGCTGATATCTGCTGATATATCTGTGACAGGCTGATATCTGCTGATATATCTGTGACAGGCTGATATCTGCTGATATATCTGTGACAGGCTGATATCTGCTGATATATCTGTGACAGGCTGATATCTGCTGATATATCTGTGACAGGCTGATATCTGCTGATATATCTGTGACAGGCTGATATCTGCTGATATATCTGTGACAGGCTGATATCTGCTGATACATCTGTGACAGGCTGATATCTGCTGATATATCTGTGACAGGCTGATATCTGCTGATATATCTGTGACAGGCTGCTATCTGCTGATATATCTGTGACAGGCTGATATCTGCTGATATATCTGTGACAGGCTGATATCTGCTGATATATCTGTGACAGGCTGATATCTGCTGATATATCTGTGACAGGCTGATATCTGCTGATATATCTGTGACAGGCTGATATCTGCTGATATATCTGTGACAGGCTGATATCTGCTGATATATCTGTGACAGGCTGATATCTGCTGATATATCTGTGACAGGCTGATATCTGCTGATATATCTGTGACAGGCTGATATCTGCTGATATATCTGTGACAGGCTGATATCTGCTGATATATCTGTGACAGGCTGCTATCTGCTGATATATCTGTGACAGGCTGATATCTGCTGATATATCTGTGACAGGCTGATATCTGCTGATACATCTGTGACAGGCTGATATCTGCTGATATATCTGTGACAGGCTGATATCTGCTGATATATCTGTGACAGGCTGATATCTGCTGATATATCTGTGACAGGCTGATATCTGCTGATATATCTGTGACAGGCTGATATCTGCTGATATATCTGTGACAGGCTGATATCTGCTGATATATCTGTGACAGGCTGCATATCTGCTGATATATCTGTGACAGGCTGCTATCTGCTGATATATCTGTGACAGGCTGATATCTGCTGATATATCTGTGACAGGTGATGCTGAATATCTTGAGGCTGAAGCGATAATCTGTGACAGGCTGATATCTGCTGATATATCTGTGACAGGCTGATATCTGCTGATACATCTGTGACAGGCTGATATCTGCTGATATATCTGTGACAGGCTGATATCTGCTGATATATCTGTGACAGGCTGATATCTGCTGATATATCTGTGACAGGCTGATATCTGCTGATATATCTGTGACAGGCTGATATCTGCTGAAATATCTGTGGGCTCTAATGAATGAAAATATTTCATAATTAACTGTTATGTAGGGAAAAATCACTGTAGTTGCAATACTGGCCCATGCAGAGCCAAACTATTCATACACAGGAACCTTCTCATTTAATAAGCAGTAGTTAGAAGTGATTAGCAGATACAGTACTATGTATTTTGCAGCAGATGCTTCCCCTACATGAGCTGGTTCTGGTTTCTTCCTGTTAACTGGGAGTTTTTCCTTCCCACTGTTGCCAAGTGCGGGAGGATTGTCTGATTGTGCGAGATTTAGGTCTTTACCTTATAATATGAGGCGACTGTTTATAAAATTTAATTTAATTTCTTACTTTGGTAATTCTGAAGGAGGCCTTATAACTATTAAATCTGTATGTGATACTTGTATGGTTGTAAGTGGGTAGTCAATAGTGAATTGAATACATTATTAAGTGATGCTAAATATTTGATATCCATATTCTTTTAGAAGCTGATGATGTTGAATGCAGTGTAACTGTTCTGCAGCACAGAGCCTCACAGGCTGTGTGTGATGAACACAACTGACTCCAAGTAAAACAATAAAACAACCAACATCAGAACACGTTTCATGTTTGTAGCTGGAAGCGTTTACAAAAGCAAAGTTGTGCGAGTGTGCGCAACTTACTGACACACATTCTTGTGGCTGTTCTGTTTCTTCCAGAAGCTTCCAGTGCCAAGCTAAGGTAACACATCTGCTTTTGCCAGATGTGTGAGCCCCAGTTCCATTTGTTAATCCCTCCTGTGCTGATGTGAGCCCATGTGTAAATAAGCCAATCGCGTACCTGCTTTAACATTCAGCCACGAGGCCCCCCTCGGTGCACGACTCAAAATGAGGAAGCGGTTGCATCAATCACAACAACAGCCTGAACCCTCTCACTGCTGTTTTGATTATCGACCGCGAAGCAGCATCGCGGCGTATTTAATGACGCCTCTGCTGTGGCGCACCGTAAGTGTCGGACGGTCACTTGTACCGCAGGCCGTCGCTTCTCTGTAGTCGTGGAAAGCCGAATGATCGGCTCGTCTGATTGTGCACAACTGTCCGCCCGGAGCTCCTGTCAATGATCCGTCTTTTTTGGTGCTTTGTTGTACTTATTGATCTGATATGTCACCTGTCTCGAATCGGTTATGACGAAGCTGACGATCAGTCATTTGAGAGGAGGAGTTGTTTGTCTCTGTTTCCATCTCCATATTTCACTCGCTCGGTTCTTGTTTGTGTCCCCTGGCGTTGTCTGGAGCTGAACGTGAGGGAGGAAAAGAAGGATGACATATCACATCGGCACTGAGAGGTTTTTGTTTTTAGCTCTGCAGGGGAAAACACAATATCAGAACCCTTATTTTGCCCCCGGCTGCCTCAGTGGTCATTTTATCTCAGTCTCACACAGAACACCAACGATTCTTATCACTTTACATCAAATAATATGTTAGGATATTGGATAAGAAAAAGATATTGCCCTTGGTCTATCCTAGTCAGCACTTTGTTGCTGTCGGGGCTCCTCTGGGATTTAGATTTTTATTCTTTTTATTTTTGAAGTGTGCAGTAAAAGAAGAACTTTGCTGTGTCCTGGTGAAAATCTGATTCCTCACAGCAGACATGAGGTCACGTGCTGTCTCTGTGATTTACATCAGAATTGTTTCAACCAGAGTCTGTCTTCTCTCACCTGCAGAGGTTTGTCGGGAACGGGAACTCGGAGAGCGTCGTTCAGAACAAGCTGTTCCACCCTGTGAGGACACGCTTCCTGCGATTCGTCCCTCTTGACTGGAACCCCAGTGGCTGGATGGGCCTCAGGGTGGAGGTGTACGGGTGCTCCTACAGTGAGTAACACTCAGCCTGCAGTTAATCCCATGGTATCAAAGTCTGCACTGACCCTCTCTAGTCACACTGCGTGTATCGATTTATTTATTTATACACTTGGTTTTGTAGCGTAGGACAAATACTTCAAAATGTATGATGCTGGATTCTTGGAGTATTTACTAGCACAAGGAGCATTATTGTAATTATTTTCATTTTAAAAGCATCAGTGTTTCAAAAACACTTTACGGAGCTTTGGGACCTGTGTACAGACCAGTGATTTAAACCTTCGCCCTGACAGCTTTGGTCTGCTGCCACTGTTAGCTCTTCTATTCACAAGTTTGACAGTTTAAAATTCTCTTTCCAAATTTGTCTTGCCTGTCACATTTTCATCAAATGAGGAGTGTCCCATGTTTTTGTAGCTTAAATTTACAGAAGTTTCCAAGGTTTAAATGCACCACAGGAAGACAGCCTTGCTGTTTTTTAAACAGGACCACTATGTGGATATATCGACTGAGTGTGCATGTGTTTCCTGATAAGCTTTTGCCCTTTTGTTTAGGATTAAGAGGTTTTGGAATGAATGTGAATAAATGTCACCACAAAGCCACACAAACATACCTCGCCCTGCCAATGGACGAGACAAGGCAGCACTCAGAGATCTCCAGTGCAGTAGTAAATGGTAAATGGAATGGTTCTTATATAGCACTTTTCTGCTCTGCGCTCTCAAATCACTTTACATCACACATTCATATTGTACAAGCACTTTTTTCAATGCTTTTTCTGTGTAAGTGCTTTCTATCTAACATCCGCACACACTCACACTCCGATGGACGCAGCGCAGAGCAACTTGGTGCTTAGTATCTTGCCCGAGGATATTTGGCGTGCAGACTGGAGCAGCCAATAATCGAACTACAAACCTCGGCATTAGTGGAGCATCTGATGACCTGTCGATGCACCATTCTGGACTGCTCCAACCCATAAGTGCTACAAAGGTTGTATAAATGTTTGTTAGCCTTTTTAACCTCCTTGTGTGCAATAACCAGCAGTAAGTGTGTTTCCTCCATTTCTGTGTAAATCATTGCAGCGATGTGAGATTACTCCCCGAAATGCTCTAAACCAAAAGTGCTCATTAGAAAACGAGGAAGAGGACGTAGAAATATTTGGCTTCAAATGGAGGGTGTAACAGTACAAAGTTTAAGCCAGTGTGATAGTACCTCAAACCTCTGTTCTGTCAGATAGTGATAGCTTCCACTGGAACAGAGAGACCATCTGTTTATTGCAACCAACATACAGTCACTGTGTGGCTTCAAAGCAGGACCTCACAAACCAGTTGTGTCCATCAGTCATTCGTTCTGTTACAGACAGTGACTTGTACTTCATCGCTCCTCCACTATGAGATGAAGTATTTCTTTGAAAATAAGTGCTGTGGTATTGCATATAGAATAAAAATCAGTTCTAAAACGCTGGTAAGTACTTCAAAGTACCAGCAAAGCCAGTCCTGCACTTATACGGATCCACTGTAAACTCTCTGCATCAGCAACACTAAAGAATGGTCAGGACAGGAAATAAAGCCAAACAACACATCTGTAACAGTTCAAATATCTTACAGTTTTCAGGTTGTTGTGTCTCTCTGTGTGGGCTTTATGGGACAAGCGCTCTGTGACATTTAAACCTGTGACACACACTGATAGCAGGGCAGCACCACCCCTGAAGGTGTGAAACTTGGTGCTTTTAGCTGCATCAGCTTATAATATCTCACACCAAGAAAACACTAATGAAAGCATCTGGATAGAAAAGGCATCGTGTCCATTATTGGTGTTATTGATATATAATCATTGTGCAACAGTCTTTTAAAAGCAAAGCAATGACTTGTGATTATAACAGAAGCAAAAATGAACACAGTGCGTTTTATATATCTTGAACAGTCAATAAAAAGCACGTAATGGGGATTCACTGGTGCACCTCGCCCACATGTTGTGAAGCAGCACTAACTAGATGAGCCAGTGAATTACTGCACACTGGAACACCATCAGAACAGGTCATGGTGAACAGTTTTATGATACCGACCACCTCAGCAATGTTGGAGAAGTGACTGCCTCATACAGCGCAGTACAAATTAAAGCTGAAATCTGAAGATTTGACTCCTGCAGGTAAGTGGTTCTGGTGGAGTGGCATGCCTCGGAAACTGAAAACATGCACTTTTGGACCCAACCCACACGTTTTGCTTGCATAATTTAGGTCTACGTTTTTTCCTTTTCACTGGATCTCAACCTCATTGAAGACCAATGGAAGATTTTAGATGGATGTCTCAGACAGCCGTAACTACCATCATCTGAACACCAAATAATAGTATGTCTTTGTAAAAATGTTCCTTTCCTCCTGCAGACCTTTGGAGAGTCACTGCACACGAAGCTGTTCATGTGGGGCATGATGATCCAACGCCTTACCAGACATTTTGTATTTCCTGCGGTTTTTCGTACTGTAATACTCTGAGTCATTAAAATCGGATGAGTGTAGCAGTAAGAAATTACAGATTCCAAAAGCTGCACAGGACGAGATCTCTGGAACGGGCTCACCTCAGTGGAATCACATAGCTATTATCAATACTATCATTTCCACCAGAGTTTTATATTCGTGTTTATATATGCGGTTTATATATTCATGGGTTATTCTAGTGTATTGTGGTGACATTAAATTATAATAAATTGTGCCAAATGGCACAGGTTGCTTTGTCGCATGCTTTATCATTGTCTGTTGTTCTTTATAGAAGCGCGTTATTCTCCTGACACTGAGTCAGTGAGGTTTTATGTATCCAGACATAACAGAAACCATGTGCTGCTTGCCAGGCTCAGATGAACAAAACATGGCATTAGACCGTATTATTTAGCTGCTGGACAGATGGCTTCACATCTAACACTAGAATACTTTAGTATAAAGAGGAGTTCATGTTCAGCTCAATGACAGTAAAAAGCCCAGGTCCTGTGGGTTCAAAGCAATACCAGTTCCCACCACTCCTCCATAACTCCTCCATAAAATCTTCCTCCATGATCATGCCGGTGAGATCTGGATGCTGGATGCTCTGATCCTACTTTAACGTATTTTTGCTTATTTTTTGCTATTTTCTGTTGCTATCTGCCTGATCTTGCATTATTGACATTATTGTAACTACACATTTACAATACCACAGAGATACTCTCATTTCTACTAGTCCATAATATACGTACATTTCATCGTGTTTAACTCTGGTTAAATCTGGCCAAGCGAGTGCCGGCAGGAGAACAAAGGACGTGACCCAAAGCGAAGGCTATGAGGGAAATGAGCCAGCATCAGGAACAGGCTATGGGTTCACACACAGCCTTGCTAAGTATCCTACTAGCCAATGTTCAGTCCTTCCAGAACAAGCTTGACAACCTCAAGGTCCGTGTCAAGTTCCAGAGAGACATTTGGGACTGCAGCCTCCTGAATAAAAACTGGTGCGACAATCCCAGCATTACGTGCTCTGGCTCACCCAACCTTTTTTTAAATTTTTTTTTATTATTTCTGGGTTTTACAGTTCACGATGCGGATTACAGGCATTGATTAACACAATTTGCAAAAAAAAAACCAAACAATCAGGAGTGACCAGTAGCCAGATTATTGATTTTAAAATTTGAGAATTAAATTCGGCTTATGTTATTCACATATGCTGTTAACTCCTCCATCCTATAAATCTCTAGTGTTATTTCCCACCACAATGATAAAGTCGGTACATCTTGTAATAACCATTTCTTTGTTATACATTTTTTACTTGCAACTAGCAACATTTATTTTTTAGACCATTCCTGTGGCGTACATCCAAAAAATTGTTTTCATTCCAAAAGGGAATGTACAGTTGAAAATTTTTTGTAGTGTTTCGTGAACGTCTTTCCAATAAGTCCTGATCAAAGGGCAGTCCCACATTATGTGAGCGTGGTGTGCTCGTTGGTGTCCACATTTTCTCCAACATACAGGGGGATTCCCGTCATGGGCTGGGCTGTAGTTACATCCTAAGGTTTTAAAAACTGAGCTTAAATAAATGATTAGCGGTAATAAAAGCCAAGGGAGGTCAACAGTGATCACTGACTGTTTTAGGAGCTTTTTGAGATCAAATAGAAGAAAATACAAAACATTAAACATGTTAACAACACAAAAGCCATATTAAACACAGACTACTTTAGGCCCGGAAGTAGGATTCGTCACGTCATCACTTAACGACCGGATATCTTCACATATTCAGTTAAGTGAGAAAGCTTATTTGTAAGAAATGTATACAAAAAGGAAATTTTTATTTTTTATTGACACTATATGCCTTTTTAAGCATAGCTATCAAATCTACATTAGTGTTCGACGCCACTCTGATTGTTGTCTTAATATAATGTCTTATTTGCAAGTATCGATAACAATCCTGCTTTTCCAGATTGTATTTTTGTTTCAGTGTATCAAAACTAATTAATTTTAGTTATAGTATTCTCTGCAATTTTCTTTTTAAGTTTCCATGCTAAGATTTTCATTGATTTTGATCCACATTCATAATATTTCTGTTTCAAATATAGCAATTTTCTCTCTATCGCTTGTGTATTCAGCTTATTTATTTCATTTCTGATCATTGTTAGTTGTTTTAGAGTGCTGGTTGAAGGCATTTGTTTATGCTCACTTTCTAATTGTTTTTGAGTCTTTTGTAATTCTGCCATTTTTTTCTCTCGAGCTTTTTTCTGAAAAGAGGCAAATGCTATGATCTCCCCTCTTATGAAAGCTTTTAATGCATCCCATAGTATTGGAGGTGACACTTCTCCGTTATCATTTGTTTCAAGGTAATCTTTGAGTTCTTT